TCTGAGATGTGATCAAGGCCTCCTTGCTGACCTAACACTCGGCCTCAGGCTCAACAGCTCCGGAACAGATACCTCGCTGGCACCGCGGGCAGCCCGTACTCCGATCCTGATGCTTTCATGCTCTTTCAGAGGATGCAACAGCTTGAAGCCCCTTTCAGCACCAAGCGACCAGTCATGGATCACAATCAGTCATGGCAACCCGAGGGCATGCCGTACGCGAACGACATGCAGTCCATGTTCGCGCCCATGCAGTTCCAGTTTGGTGTTTCGTCCATCGATGATGTCTCCATGTCAGCCTCTGGTGGTTTGAGTCAAAACATGCCCATCTCCTCTCCCGTCTTCTCAGCATCCGAGTCGGGCGCCAGCTTTGGCAGCTTCTCCTCCACCGGTGCACCCAACCTCCTTGACTCCGGTTCCTTCAGCTCGGCAGACGGCTCGGCAATCATCAACAGCCCTCCCCAGCAGTTCGATTACGTCAACTCTCCCTTCACGTCGTCGTCTATGATGGCTGAAGATCTTTCCAACATCAAGGCAGCCCCTCCTTCACCTCAACCCTTCTCCGAGCCAACGCCAATTCACTTCTTCCAGGCACCTACCGACCAGATTGCAGAGGCTGGGCGGTGCCACATGGACGATCGTCACGTCGTGGGAGTCTCTGCTGCTGGGAGTCATAGCATGATCTTGAAGTCTGAAACCCATGTTCCTCGCATACTGCCTTCGAAGCCTCGCAAGGAGCTTCCCGAGAAGCCACGTTCTCGCCGCACCAGCTCTCCGGCTTGCAAGTCGGTCTTATCAGCTCCCAAGGCAGAGCTAAGACCGAAGCAATCGAAGCCCTGCCCGGTGCCATTCTCTTTCGCAGAATCCGTGGAACGCTCCGCCAAGGACGAGTATCTTCTCAAGGCCAAGGCAGAGGGACTGACATACCGCGAGATTCGCGTCAAGGGCAACTTCAGCGAGGCGGAGTCAACCCTCCGTGGCCGTTATCGCACCCTTACCAAGAGCAAGGAGGAGAGAGTTCGAAAGCCCGAGTGGACTAGTCATGATGTAAGTGCCACCCTCCGCGATATGAGAGCATGGTCTAACCCTTCATTTGCAGATCCATCTCCTCAAAAGGGCCGTCCGCAAGTTCTCCAAGGGCAACGATCCAGCTTCAACCAAGATTCCATGGAAGCAGGTGGCCGAGTACATTTACTCGCATGATGGATCGTACCTGTTCGGCAACGCCACTTGCCGCAAGAAGTGGGATGAACTCGTCATGTGCTCTGCAGGAAGACGCATCGGCGGAAGTGGAACCATGTAGTGCCTCTCGGGACGGCGCGATGGGGCCCCGATGGGTGTGCTTGATGAGATTGGGTTCCGGGGTGAATATTGGAATGGTTTGCAGCATTGCAAATTCGAGATGTGAGCTGTCGTTCATGGTGGAGTACTGGCTGGATTTTCATGTTTGTGTTCTTTTGTTAGAAACCTGCCGCTAGGCAAAAATGTTTGTTTGTTGTAGCATGTATTTTGGGTTGACTGCATGATAAGGACTCGCCCAAATTTCCAGCAATCACAGCTTCTTACTGTGCCCAGGATTCTTTGGGATGCCGATCTTGGCCAGAATATCGACCAATTGGTTGCTGTCGCTGTTGGCTTTGAGAGCAGTCCATTCGGCTTCACTCTTGACCAGAGCAGTCCCTGCCAACACAGTGCCGTTGAGGCTGAGCTTGCCGACGGACCTGCCATCTTCCTCGATGATGTGGCCTTCGGCCAATCGCGGCATGACCACCAAAGAGTTGCTTGTCATTGCAAGGTTATAGCTGATCCGAGCTTCCCCGTTGCCTGAATCGTCTAATTTTCCGACATGAGCCTCGACTGCGTCAACAGCTGACCGGAAAAGCGCCACGTAGACAGCATGAAGCTCATTTGGACTCATGCCCCCATGGATTTTGTCGCCGAATGTTGCAAATGGGATGCCCATGAGCTGCGGTTGGACCAGCTGCTTCGCTAAAACATCCCACTTGGAGCTTTCTGGCAGGCCATATTTCATTTGAGCGACGGGAAGCAGCTGAATATGTCTATGTGGCTGGCTTGCGCCCGAGTGCTGCCCACTGTTGAAAAACGCATACAATTCGCTGTCTCCATGCTGGTGGTATGCTTCGATACAAGCGTAGGTCGCTGCCAAGTCGTTCGGCTCCAGCAGGTGAGTCTGCAGTTTGTAATCCTTCGTCGCGAGGATGAAGTGTTCTGGTACAATGGCGAACTTGTTCAGAACGAGGTTGTGTCCCGAAGAGGGGATATCGGCAATGAACAGCGGACCGTTCTCCGGGTTCTCGAAGGGGTCGAATGGTTTTCGTGGTTGGTCGGCTTGGGACTTCGGAGCGGTTGGCTTATTTGCCAATGCTGGAGAGAAACGAAGTTGGAACTGCTTGTAGGTGTCAGGGGCAGCTCTCGACAAGGTGACAGTCGTCTGGGACAAACTTACAGGGATCGAGTTCGCAGTCAGGACGGCGACTTGCGTCGCGTAATAGTTGAGGTCGCCATTGACGCGAGCTCTGTTGAAAGCAGCTTTGACAAGCTCGGGGAGGTTTACTGGGGCTTTGATAGGGGCCATGATGATGGCAAAGAAAGGTGCAATGGCTAACTAGAGGTCGCGAGCTGTGGGATGGAAACCAGGAGGATGAGGTCACTTCGTGTTGGACAGGAGGGCGGGACGCGCCAGGGCGGGAGCTGCGGTCAATGCCCCACCTTCCCCTCCTACACCGAGATCTTGACCGGTAGTGACCGACACACCGAGCCGCCCATACCTACCCGAGTAGTACAGGCAGCTATCGCCACATAGAATAAGTAAGTGAGTTAGTAGTTCGGACTAGCCTAGCCATGAAATAATTCATCGGGTCAATCTACGTAAATAATGTCCGGAATACTGCATGTTCTCCCAGCATCGCCGAGGTTCTGCTGCGATGTGTCCTCCGGTTCTGTTGTAGGTGAGCCTCGGTGGCTTGGCGTCTGGCTTTCTCATTGGCCAGTCGGTGCTCGCAGCTGGCCGACTGTCCGACGATTAGCCACCCGACCTGTCACTGCCCCACTGTCAACAGCCACACAGCTAAGGTAGGTAGGCCCAGAAGGTGCGCTCGTGAGGTACGTACCCTCCCCCGATCAGCAACGTCATACTTTGGTGTTGCTGAATTCTCGCGCCAAATCCTGGCCTCTTCATTCCTCCACCTTAAGAGCCACCACTCCGCCAAACAGCTCTCAAACCCGCTACTCTGCCCTTAATGCTGTAGCTGATCTTCTAGACGTCAAAAGAGTCAACATGGAAACACCACCCACTGCGAACCTGCGGAGCAAAACCCGACGCGCTCTGGACGAACTCAACGGAGCAACCACGATGGCGCCCGAGCAACCGACCAAGACGAAGCGAAACAACCCCTTCCTGCCCACGCCCCTCGAGACCCTCGTCGTCGCCGCTTTTCCCGTCATCCTGTTCTTCGGGACTCTCTTCTCGCTGCTCTCCCCCGACGTCCGGTCCTCGCAGTACGACCATGCCTCCCAAGCCCACGTCCAAGACACCGCGCCTTCCTACTTCGCGCGAAAGTCGAACCTCTTCAACGTCCTCTTCGTAAAGAGAGGCTGGTTCTGGATCACCGCTGCCTTCTTCGCCTTCATCTTCACCCACCCCGCGACCGTCCACTCGACCCGTCGGATACAGGCCACCCTCCGCTGGGTGCTGGTTACAACGTGGTGGTTCTTCGTGACGCAGTGGTTCTTCGGACCTGCCATCATTGACCGAGGCTTCCGCTGGACTGGAGGAAAGTGCGAGATCATTGAGGAAAAGGTCGAGCTCGGCGAGGGAGATGCTAAGGAAGTCTTCACGGCTGTGGCGTGCAAGGCTGCTGGTGGAAAGTGGCGCGGTGGACACGACATTAGTGGACACGTATTTCTGTTGGTCCTCGGCTGCGGCTTTCTGCTTTCCGAGGTCGGCTGGGTTGTTCTCCGATGGAAGGGCGCAAGGCGAGAAGAGCGCAGCGTAGTTATGACTGATGGCGCGACAAAGACAGCTACTGTCGAGGCACAGGGTCTGCAGGGAGAGCCCGTTCCTGGTGATGCTCTCGGGGTAGGGGGCAAGTTCGCGGTTGGCGTGATTGGTCTCAGCTCTTGGATGTTGCTTATGACTGCTATCTACTTCCACACCTGGTTTGAAAAGGTACGTTTCCACTTGGCACACTATCTTGGCCTTCTCAACTCACAGACGTGTCAAAGATTACTGGCCTTGCCACCGCTCTTGCGGCTCTGTATGGAGTCTACATCCTTCCCCGTTTCGTTCCTGCGATACGCCAGGTCGTTGGCTTGCCTGGAATCTGATACCCGCTGTATGTTTGGATCGAGTAGTAGATACTCAATAATAAAAACAATACCCCTCCTCATCCATATTCACATTCAGTTTGTCCCGTGAAGCCGCTCTCCCGGATCATCCGGCCGGGCCGCGCCATTTAAAAGTTTTGCTGGCGATCGTTGTTTCGTAGAAGGGCTGGCCGTTTCTGCTTTTCTAGATCCGTGACCATCAAGGCGCGGGGAATCGGGATGTGATGTGCCGTCCTGGCCATCCCTGCCAACGGCCGTCGTGTTCATCCAAAGTGTAGCAAACCTCAGAAAGGATGCCAAAATGACAAATTTCATGCAATGCCAGAATGAGCTTGAAGTCGCAACTTTAGATGCCAAAGGCAGTCACACGCATACAGATGCACAAGGGACCTACTTGGATGGTAGCGGAGACCATACTCGGAGCCGAAGGAGCCTACACAAGCAATGTCACACCAGGCGCTTCAAAGACATGATCAAAAACAATTGATTCGTTTGTGGTATCAATGCCCCTCGGGCAGAAACAAGAAGTGTATCTCAACCGACCCTGTGTTTTCTAAAAATCCTCAAACTCCCTAAACCCTGATGCAAGTATGCCGCCTGGCCCAATAATCCACACAAAAAAGGGGGGGTTAGCTCTCAGCCACTGGGGCCGAGTGCTAGATGAAGTGAAAGTCGTAAGCCATATCGGTCCTCTTCCCGGCAAGGCACGTCTTCTCAGGCTCGATCGCATTGCGGGTATCCATGCGGAACCCACGCTTCGTCTTGAGGTCGTCCCATGCGGTCGTCTCATCGCTCGCCTAGAGCGGGGCCTGGAAGAGGGCGACGGTGGCGCAGAAGTTGTTGCGGTTGTCGCTGTCGAGGGCGGCGCCCTTGCCGTTGACGGTGACCATGTTGACCGAGGCCTTGGTGCTGAGGCCGAAGAACTTGACGTCGCTGTTCTCGAGCGAGACCATGTGGTCCTGGCAGTTGTTCTGGCCGACGCAGACCTGGTCGTAGTTGTTGAAGAAGCTGTACAGGCCGGCGCCGTAGATGAGGATGTCCTTGGAGTTGATGGCGCGGACGCCCCAGGTGCGCGCGCACTTGTCGCTCTGGCCGGTGCAGAAGGTCTCGAAGTTGGGGTCCAGGATGGCGTTGTTGACGGTGAAGGGCGTCTTGGCGTCGGGGTTACCCTGCATGTACGCCGTCTCGGTCTGGATGTGCGCCATGTAGACGTTGGAGGCGTTGTTGAACTGGTAGTTGTACAGGACGGAGTGCTCGGAGGCGGTTCCCCAGAACCAGGTTCCCTTGGTGGACTCGGTGAGGACGCCGCGGCCGTTGTAGATGTCGATCTGCTGACCCTTGTTGGCAAGGTCGAGCTCGTGGTCAGCAACCCACCACCAGACGTTCTCAAAGTAGCCGGAGGACTCGGCGGTGATGTGGGTGAGCATGTAGGCGCCGATGCACTCGGGGTTGGCGGCGTGGGTGACGTTGGGGTTCTTGGCGCACTTGTCGGACTGGAGCTGGGTGCCCTGGCTGCCACCGATACGGAAGTGGACGTCCCAGAGACCGGCGGCACCAGGGCTGGAGCCGGCGATGTTGTACTCCATGAGGATGGCGCCGGCCTGGGGACCCTGCGTCTGGACGATGATGTCGCTCATCTCGAAGGTGCCGACATCGCCAGGCTTTCCGACTCTGAGCATGACCTTGGGGTTGGCCTGGTCCTTGAACGCCTCGCCGTTGGCCATCAGAAGAGGCCAGACCTCGCCGGTGATCTTGATGTCCTTGGGCACCTCGATGGTGTTGGAGATGATGTAGGCACCGTGGTCAAAGTAGACAATGTCGTTGGGGCCGGCCTTGTTGAACAGAGCCTGGATGGCGGCCGTGTCGTCGGTCTTGCCGTCTCCCTTGCAGCCGTTGGCCTTGGCGCTGAGGAACTGGCTGACGGCGGCGGTCTCGTACTGAGGCTTGCTGCGGGTGACGACCTTGCCGTTGGAGCCGAGGAGAACGGCAGGCTTGGTGATGGCGTCCTGGGCGCTCTGGACAGCCTTGCCGTTGCCGGTGGCGCCGGTGTAGGTGCGGCCCTGGATGAAGGAGGCGATCTTCTGGTTGCCGGCAAGGACGTTGGCCTTGGTGTCGACGATCTGGACGGCGGCGGGAACGTTGGTGGTCATGTCGACGTTGTCGAGGATCAAGCTGCCGTTGGTGGAGGTGGAGGCGGGGTTGTAGGCAGTCAGGACACCGACGGGGGTGTTGCTGATGACACTGTCGAGGAGGAGAACGGAGCCGACGGTCTGGGCAGTGGCACCGCCGTTGGACATGTCAACACCGACGCCGCAGTTGTTGATGGTGAGGTCCTGGAGGGTCCAGAGCCAGTTCCAGTTCATGTAGACGGCAGTCTTGCAGTTGTTGAAGGTCAGAGCGCGGGTGGTAAACTGCTGAGAACCAACGAACATGCCGTACTTGCCGCCGTTGAAGGTCAAGTTGGTCATGAAGCCGCCGGAGCCGTTGTCGATGAAGATACCCTGCTGGACGTTGCTGTCTCCGCCGTCGGTGCGCATGTTGAAGACGATGTTCTGCAGAGAAGTAGCCTGAGCAACCTGCCAGTGAATACCAGCGCCAGAGGTGACGGGCATGGCAGTGAGGTCGACGTTGAAGTTCTTGACGAGCTTCCAGAAGTTGTTCTATGGCGTTTTGTTAGCTCATACGCACATGTCTTCTGATGGTGCTTGACATACCTGGTTAGTGTGCTGGTTGTTGCCCTGGTCGTCGTACGGGTTGGCGTCAATAACAGCCATACCAGTGAAGCTGGCAGCGGCCTTGATGGTGGGAAGGCTGGTGGCATCTCCAACCATGTGGGTGTAGTACTTCATGGCGATCGGCTTGCTGACGACGTAGGTGCCAGCAGGGAAGTAAACCAAGGCGGGAGTAGTAGTCGAGGAGTCGCATCCGAAACCGCAACGGTTGCCCTTCTTCAGTCAGGAAACATTCCACGAGTAGAGCTCGATTTCACATCACATACCTCGTCCATGGCGGCCTGGATGGCGACGGTGTCATCGGTCGCGCCATCACCCTTCGCGCCAAAGTCCTTTACATTACGGAAGATCTTGTAGTTGGGATCGCCAAAGGCAGAGACACCGCTTCTCTCGATCGAGGCGACCCAGTAGTTCCCAGCGGCAGCAACGGGCGAGTTAGAAGCCTGGGGAGCGGCGACGGGGTCGGGCGTGGGAGCCGCGAGGGCGTCGAGGGAGAAGAGGCGCAAGGCCAGAAGGGTGGTCGTGAGAACTGTTGAGAGGCCCATCATGATGTAGAACCAGCTGATCGACGATGTCCTCTTGTTTATGGTTGATTGGAAAGAAGGCGAAGACTGCGCGTTATCGTGGTTAGCTTCTCAAGTCTCCAGTGGAAGATGAGGTGGTGGTGGTGAATGTTGATGTTCGCAAGCAGAACGAAAGCGCAGCTTCCAGAAGTGTGATGAAAACTCGAGACTTCGAGAGATTCACAAGAGGAAGGAGGAAAAGATATTTGTTTTCTTTTCTTTGCTTTCGATTGCTTTGTGGGCGTGGGTTGTTGAATAGGGCGAGAAGCTGGTTACCCTCGACGACTCGTTCCATGATCAACAAACCTCCATCCACCTTAAGTATTTCGAGCAAGTGAGTGACAGTGACTAACTGCCAGTCAACCATCACCGGCCCGTCCCACGAACAGCCCAGCTGTCAGTGACTGAAAGACTGCTGCGCGTCACAAGCCTGGATCATGTTCCATTGTCCCGTCGAGACTAAACAACCAGGGTGGTTGTCTAAGCCGACCTCTTTGAGCTGGACCTCGACGCAGACCCGACTCAGATGACAAGTCGTACGTCACGGTACTGGTGTCTGAAGAATACCCCATTCCACCAGAAGGAACATGAAGAGCCGAGACAATAGGCCGGCGGAGAGAGGGTGGGAAGGAAAAGAATCAAATTCAAGCCACGAGACCCGGGGGGCCAAGACGGCGCACACAGCAACTACTCACCAGGAGTTTGAGAGTGACGACAGCGGATGACGGCCGATCAAGGCTCCGGTTGTATTGGTGCTAAAGAATGACTGGATCGAATCCCCTCTGAGGATTTCGATAAACAGAAAAAACGAAACGAAAGAACGTCGATGGAGGACGAGGAGGGTGTGCGGTTCGAGACACGGGAGAAAGGGACGGGGGAGGGAGTAACCACGAGCCAAGAAGAGGTTGACGGCGACTATCACCGTCTTATATCGACCTACCCTTTGGGCAGTCCCCTGCCTCGCCATGCGGTTTATCGCCATGGTGGCGGCACTGGGCACTCTGCACCTGTCGGACCTCTCTTCAGTTTGAGGCGAGCAGGGCCCCGGATCCCGGTTCACAACCTTAGGTACAGCCGTTATTGCTCTCGACGACTGGATCTCGGCGGCCCTTCTTTTGCGCAAACCCTACCCTGTGAGAGGGGGGATGTACAGTAAGGTGTCCAGGAGCTTGAAGGGGTGAGCGAGTGGGATGGGAGGGAATATTGGACGTCCGTGGCCCGCCCGAGCTCTCTCGACCAAACCTAGCTAACCTTACAGCGGTAGCTTTTCTTTACTAACACGCCCCGCGTTGCGTCGTGTGAATGAGTGTGTGTGCTGCTGTCCAGCCGACTTGCCGCGATGGATAGGCAATCCCGGAGCCAAGAGGATAAAAAATGCGATGAAACAAGGATCCGGAGAGGGGCGCTATTGGATGGGAGGGGATATAGCTTCAAACAGAGCTAAGCAAGGCCCGCGATTGGAGGGGGGAGGAGGGTGTGATGGACGGACGTTGCTTTGCTGTGCTGCGCTTCTGCTGTGGTGCTGTGTGCTGTGTGCTGGTTGGCAAGTGAAGGACGGGAGACCGAACAGACAGAGACACAGACAGGGTGACAGTGACAGTGGAAAGAGAGAGAGAAAGAGTGGAAGCAAGCAAGCAAGCACACGCAAGTAGTTCGGACGAAAGCGGCGACGATGAAGGGGGGAGGCCCTGTCTGCTGGTCAGGGGTCAGTCAATGCGATGCGACAGCCGCCCCTAGTGCGGACGGCGTTGGTTCGCTACCCAAGGCTGGCTGTTTTCCCACGCCCCCTGCTTCTGGAAAAATACCCACTGGTGGTGGTGTTCTGGTGGTGAGAGGTTGATTAGATTGATGAGAAGGGACCGTGGCACACGCGGGCGGTGTTGTACTCGTCGAAGTATCTGTAAACGCCCAAGGTTTGGTTTACCCAAGGGAACGGCCGGCCGACAGTCATCATGATCCCTGCAGCAGCTCCGTTGCCCGCATAATGATCTGCCTTGAGATCTGTCGTCCTTGGCCCTGATGATTGATGTTCCCTGAGCAAAAGGAGAGAAAAAAAGTGAACCTGGACTGTCCTGGTAGGCCTTTCGCGGAGGATCAGCCCGCCCGTCCCCTTTCCCCTCCAGAGTCGACGACTCATCCATGAGCTTTGCTGTGGCTGGAACCTGGAACTGAGCACAGGAGTCTTGTGTACTCAGTCCGAGTCGGGCAGGTCTTGCAACGATCAAGGGAACATGGGGATAAGGCAGGGGAACACACAGCAAATCAAGGCAAATCAAGGCAAACAGTGAAGAGACAAAACATCAATGGGCGAGGGCCTTGGCCCTGTTGCTTCTGCGCTCTGTAGGCTTTGTTCTCTTGTTTCGTGCACAATGGGGAATACAGAGGCAAAGAAGAGGGTAAAGAAGCATGTAATGCAATTGTTCTCCCTTTTTTTTCTCGCCTCTGCGCCGTTGCGTTGCCCCCCTTGTCTTGTGCATCTCCCCACAGCCGCCCCTCCACGGATGAGCAGCGGCAGGGATTCTTTTTCCATCGTTCTCTGCCTGCCAACTGGGGGCATCCAGGATCGGGCATAGCGCCGTTTCAAGCTTGTCTGCCCATCCACCAGCAGCTGGCCAGCAGAGAGATCACTGGACTGGACTGACTGGTTGGTGACTGGTGACTGGGCAGAGTTGAAAGTACCTTTGGCGACGACTGGCCTGGCGTCACAGAGCTGGGCGCGTTGCGACCCGATCCCGCAGCGGCACTCGTGGTGAGGATGCGATGGTTGGATGGGATGCGTTCCCGAGGGAGATGGAGGCGCTTGCGAAGTCTTCCCCGTTGTGTCCCTTAAATGTCGCTCTTGAAGCCGCTTGCGTGGCCGGCCAGGTTCTCTACTGGCTACCGGGCAAGCAAGGTTGTTTTTTGGCTTTCGGGATTGTGCAAACTAGAATCAACTGGGAATAATCCTCATTCTGGAAATCGATTCTCGAGACGCTGTTCTTTGACAATGAGGATAATTCATCGCGGCTGGCTTGAGCGGACGGCCGTACGACCAGACCTGTCAACCGAAGCCACACCACGCATGGAGCAGCATGGGCATCGTCCATGACCTGTTGACAGTTGACAGACGAATACATTGGATACATGACATTTGTATGTAAGCTTGGGCTACCATCGGGCCCCCCTTCCAGGCGACTCAACTTTCCACCCTGATGAGTGATGATGCGCACTGCAACCTCCGCCATGGGCTCGTGATGGCAGGCCACCAAGTCACCCGCGCAGCGTTTTCTCCGGCACATCGTCTTGGGTCGCTCAATGAACCAGACAGAATATTGAGGCTACTGCAATACAACCCCCTCCGCCCCAAACCTCGGTCGGCCCTTCTCCAGAGCCAAGCGCTGTCACATGGTCTTGAAGCAGCAAGACAGCCTTCCAAATTTCCAGATTGCTTTGGGCAGAGCCATTCAGAAAGAGCAACTGCTCCGGCATCACGTTGAGAGCTTCAGGGGTCGAGAGAGAGAGTCCCTGTGGAGAAAGAGTCGGCTGTCGAATCGAAAGATCCAGCCCCCATCTGCGCGCCTTAGGGATAAAATGTTGATCGATTTATTGATTGTCGCTGTCAAGGTCCACGGCTCTTCAGACGGGATATTCCCCCTCAATCAACCACACGCGATGGGTCCGCCTCCGACAACCCCGGGATCCATCTGACGATGTCATTCGGTTGCGCTGCCCCTTGCAGAAGAGTCATGTCCGCTGTCGACCACCGGGGCAGGCCCGGGAGAACGTGCATGTACATTGGTGCAACCCTCTGTAGCTGTATGCGAGTTCGAAGACGAGGCCATCGACGACGGACGGGAAACGCTGACTGACATGTCATCAGCTGCTCCTGCAGAAGGCTAAAGCTGAGCAAAGGCCTGCTGGTCTGAGTGAGGCCTGCGTCCTACATGAATGACAGCTCCCCTTTCCAGGTTGAAACCCTGAAACTTTGACAGCGCATGCATCCTTCCTTCGTTCGCGGCATCCATCTGTACGGCAGACAGACATGTTGCTTGGCAGGGCCTTGGGCTTCATGCTGTAAGATGTCAAGATGACTGACTGTACATACACTTCACCACACCAACACCAAAGTAAATGCATGCAAATTCAGTTCCCTCTCATTACACTTTGCAGAGACATATCGCACAACAGAAGTCGACACCGTCCCAAACAAACACAGCTTCACAACGTCCCGTCTTCGCCGTGCAGCCGTTTCGAAACGTCCCGTCCTCAGATTGAATTATGTCCAACTGATCTCATCCCTGCTTCACCTCGTCGCCCATCCCCAAACGGCCTTCTACTGGACTGTTCCATGGCAAAGTACCGTCCCCAACAGTTGCTGAGTCGAGATACCTTCGACTCGGTTGTCCGTTCTTCTCTTTCCCCCCCCTTTCCGCCACCCGGCAATCCGCCCCCGTGCACTCTATCTGTGCATCAATGATCCTATTCCTAGAGACAACCAGGCCAGCCAAGCTGCTTACGCTGAGCCTTTGCGGTCACACTTCCTCCTCTTGGGGGGAGGTAATAACGACTATTTCGTCGTCCGCGCGCACACCCCCTATTAGACTCTTAGCTGCATGTCACTAAGGCAAAAGCCCTGGGGCAGCCACCATGTGCCGCCGCCGCCGTCTAGCCGCCAAACCATCCCGGTCATCATTTTTATTCTGACGGAGATTAACGTTCATGCGCGAAGCCAAAAGAACGACCATTTTGGCCCAAGGAAACGCGCTCCACGACCTGGAATCGGCTTTCGCCACGGAAAATAGGGAAGTGCCTCCATGGAAGAGCCCAGGTTGCCGATCTGCATACCTGCCTCTTTCAGGTTTCTTTCTTTCTGCGTACTCGTTCAGAGCCTGCGTGCGTTCGTTTTCGCCAGAGTCAGGTGGGCAGTCGCCCCGTTCCTTGTCCACATGGCCCTGAACGACCTTGAGCTCGTGGTGCGGCGATCCTTGTGTGTGCATAGCGTGTGGATGGTGGCTAGCAGGCGCGAAGAAGATCGTGGAGTCGTGAGACCTGGGGAAGCCATCCTCTCCTCATTCTGCGGATACACTACCATTCCCAGTGCCACTGCTGCATGTCTCGCTCCAGACCAGTCCTCGTGGCATCCTGTGTGTGCCCTTCCCGCCTTCTCCTCAATTTTACCTCGCAGATCGTCTGCAACGGTGCGAGCGGTAGCGCAGATCATCCCCATGGGACAATTAAAGAGAATTCCCACCAACCCTGATTGCACTACTACATACTCCAACAAAGTTCCTCTTTAGGGTCCTCCCCGAACTCGGTCCTTCCCGAACTCGGGCCGGCTTCTCTACGGCGTCTCTGGCCCCAAAACCCCAGGCGTTGCGTCGGGCTAGAACGCCGCGGGAAGGGCAGCAGTAAGCCGCAGTGTCGTGAGCCCGAGGCACGCCCGAAGAAGTCATCGTGAGAAAGACATCAGATCAGGTCGACGTGGAGCTTCACTTTTCTGGACTGCGCTGCATCACAGCCGGCCCGACCGAACGGCGTTGCATCCGGCACCATCACGGCGGCTCTCTGTCGCGCGAGCAGTAATTTTAATATGTGATCCAAACTTTACTCCAGCCGAACCTGTTCGCTGGGTGCGGTTCGTGACAGCGGCCCCAGCCCAGCAGCTCAGGGGTTCTGTTTTTTTGAGGCTGTGCGGGGAGGACGACAGGAAGGGAAGGTCGCTTCTGTGATACCTTCATCTGGTGTAGCATTGGGGTCGTTCAGCTTGGCATCTCTACAGAGGCCAGTGTACGGGTTCCAATCGCCCCAGACAATCTATGTACAATCCAGATGAAACTGGAGCTGAGCTGTTCAGCTTCCACGTGCTTGGTTCGTGGTCTTGGTGATGGTGGGTTTTGTGGAGGAAGAATGACTCGGGAACTGGACTTGCTCAGCTGGCCCCATCTTGTGAACTACTTTCAAGATGTTGGACAGAATTTCTTGGTTCATGAAATTCTCACCTTGATTGAAGGTAACGGAGCAGTCCTAAAGATGGGTCTAAGATATTAAAAGTTGAATGTGTTCACGATGAGCAAAAAAGGTCGGACGAACGGTGGATCGGGACCTTGCAGGCCATGGCGATAACGACACTGTCTGTGGCAAGTCTTACAAGCCAAGTTCCTGACTGTTCTATGGATCTTCGGTATGATCATCGAATCGCTGCGCTAGGCAAGTTGTGTCAGGTTGGTCGAGCTGATCACAGCTTGGATCGTGGGTTTCCCGGTCCTCGGACACCAACATGGCATGGCACGCACGAGATGATCAACCAGATTTCCCCAACAGACACGATTGGATCAGGATAGTATGCCTTTCCCGTGCCGTCGCAACTAACTTCCCTTGAGTCTCTGCCCCTCTCGATGATTTCTCATTTGCCCTCGTGTTTGCCCTCGCCTCTATCTCTCCGTTCCTATTGATGTTATTCTTCTTGTTGGTTTGCAGAGCCGTACGATAATCCACCATCCCCATGACATATCTAAGATGCTACCACGTTAAAATAAACAACATAGACTTCATGTAGATGCTATTCTAAACATGGGATTCTATAGTCTTTTGCAAAGTCTCCTGGTTTGCTTTCCGTCTGCAAGCATCAACAACGTGGACTGCACACTGCCACCAGCATCCACTGTGAGAAACGCTTGAAGTTGAAGTTGAGATGAGTCTTGTGTCGTAGCTCGAGAAGCAAGTGGCATCTGTCGACCAAGCATTCGACTCGCCATGGGACGCACCCAACTCTGGACGACGAGATCGGCAGAGCATTATCAGACCGCGGCTTGGCGGAGAACATTCAGCCAGATGTACTTCACGAACTGCACGCCCACATGGCGATCATGCCCGCTTCAAAGGCTCTCTAAGACGAGATCACCTTGTAAATAAAGTGACTGACGATGCTGCGATGTAGCAAGCTGCAGAAGCTCTCAAGCGGTATGGAAACATCTGCAACCTGTATCCCGGCGTCAAGATCGGAAGCTACCTTGTCCAGACGTCCGGCCGAAGAACAGAAAACGAAACCATATTCCATCCCTTCGCCTCATCGTCGGCCCGGTGTTGCGCATCGCAACAGCTCAGACGACGGGACCAGTCTTCCTCGGCACCGAATCCGCGACGAAAGAAACCCCAAACAACATTGACCCTCTTCCGCACCCTCGTGGACGCGTATGCGAGATACGCAGCGCGGTCCGGATGCAAGATGGCATGAACGAACCAGTGTCGCAAGACGAACAACACCAAAGCCAATCTCACAAGTCCAACACCATCAGGAGAAGTCAGTCTGCAACATGCACTTTCCAAAGCCGCATCCCAATCCCCTCCCCCATCCCAAAGTCCGGTTTCCACATCCTCACACCTCCCCCGTCAAACTATACCCCTGCCCTCCAGACCACCATCTAAGAAGGCCAGCAAAGAACATCAAACGTGCTCACAAGGTCCCCGGAAAAAAGAGACGCATCCCCAGCAGTTCGTAAAACCTGCCAAAACCTAGCTAGACCCTCTCCATCTTGCCCTGTGCCGGCCGTCGTCTCTCCCCATACGCACAGACTCGCTCGTTCGTTTGACTGGCACACAATCGAAAGCCGAGACGAAAGGTAAACACATTGCTCGAAACGAATGCCATGCAGCAACGCAAAAGCAAAAGCACCGGCCGGTTCGAAACGAAACGATTTCGTCCCATCTCACTTTTCGACCCTGAAACTTCAGGGTAGCTAGCGCGAGCCGGGCCAATACACGCACAGCTTTGTGCGAACCCAAGTCTATTCGAGATTAAACGAATTAGGGAAAAGAAATAATGATGAAGAAAAACGGTGTGCAACGGACTGGCTACCATCTCCTACAGATCAACGCTCCGGATAAGTTGTCTGGTGTCCTGATGCGCGAGGACATCCCCGCATGATCATTCCCAACACTTCTTCAGCTGCTCCACATCAAGCATTAGCATGACCATAGGTGACCCAGGTAGATGCTGTCTGCGTTGGGCGAGGCAAGGCATTCACGGTAAAGCTTTGGACCTCGCTTGGTGATGGCGAAACAGAATCTAGAATGCTTCTATCCAGTAGCCGTCTATGCAACAAAGCCTGGGGTGCCATGCATGTCCAGTCCAAGGGGAACAGAACTGAGAAAAAGAAACAAAAATGACAAAATCCGAAGTCCCGCAATCCCAATGCAAATGGAAGAGTATCCTTCTTCCCCAGTACGCCCCGGTCAAGGATCTGCCGCACTTGCTGATCCCCTTGTTCTTTTGTGTATGGTGTCTACAACTCCAAAAGTCCCCGAGTCGTGATGAAATCGAAATCGTTACGAGGGCGGTCCAGCCGTGCCGCTCTCAGTATTAGTGTATTACGTAGGTGTCGTTGTCGAGTGTATGCTTCGTGAAAAGAGAAGTCTAGATGTATCCTCCGTCGATCATGCAAGCGCCGCCGCTCTCGAGGTTGTCGATGCCCGGAACATCGGCGCCAAAGTCCATGATCAGGATCTTGGGGTCCTGACCGGTGCTGACAATCCGACGGTAGTCGCTCTTCGCGCTCAGCACCCAACTAGCGTGCCAACGAGGGAAGTCGAGCAGTTGCCGACCGGTCTCCATATCGAAAACCTTGATGTCGGTGTCGTAGCTGCCGCTGACAAGACGACCGCTTACGGAGTCGATGTGCAGGCTGCGCACAAGGTTGTCGTGGGCCTTCATCTCGCGGAGGCACTCGCCCGTGTTGGCGTCCCAAATGCGGATGACCTTGTCGTTGCCGGCTGACGCAACGTAGCGGCCATCCTCGGAAAACTGAGAGCACGCCAGACCCTTGGTGTGGCCCTGGAATTCGCGGATGTTCTTGCCGGTGTCAATGTTCCAGAGCTTTACACGGAAGTCGCCGGAGCACGAGACGATGGTGTTTCCACGCATCTGAACAGCGTTGACAGGGCCGGAGTGCCCACGAAGTTGACGAAGAAGCTGGCCTGTAGCACGGTCCCAGACGCAGATGCTAATGTCCTTGCTGCAGGTGATGATGTGCTTGTCGTCGAAGGCGAGATCCAGCACAGCGGCAGTGTGGTGACGAAGACGACGAATCGGCCGGTATCCAGAGCGGACGTTGTACACAATACAGGTCGAATCGGAAGAGCCCGTCACCAGGATGCGCTCATCATACTGCAGACACAGGATGGACGCCTTGTGGTGAGTCGGGAAGGAAACCAGAGCAGGCGTCGACGGGTTTGCGCGCGGGTTGTCGGGCAGGGTCGCGTAGTGAATGGGCAAGCCGTCTTCATCAATCAGCAAAGAAATGTCGTTGACAACTTCAGGAGGACCGATGACAAGTCGGCATTCGAACGTCCGCATGTCCCAAATGCGAATGGTCTTGTCACGAGAGCCAGTGATGATCTTCGATCTGTTCTATGGTCAGTAAACAGCAAAAGACAGTGCCAAGGCGACAACTTACTCATCAAACTGCAGGCAGTAGATACTATCCAAGTGCCCGTTGAGATACACTGGCCTCGCCTTTCCCTCTTTCCATCGCAAGTCAAGCTCTTCCTTGGACTTGTAGATCTGCTTCCAGTCGACACCGGGCGTGATGGCGGGCACGCCCTGGCCGGTCCCCGGCTGAACGGGAAGACTGGTCGCATAGGTGCCCGTCTTTTCTCGCAGGAAGGACTCGCGCCAAACGTGCTGGTTTTGTACCATTCTCTGCCAGTAGCGGGAAACTCTACTTGCGGTGTTGAGCGCCGTGGCGTCCAAATGGGCGAGAATTTGGATGGCGAGCTCCACTGGGAGCTGGGAAATGAAGTCTGTCCTGCTGATATTGGCGTCCTCCGCCTCCAGCTCGATTTCTGATTCAGCGCTTGTGACAGTAATGCCGATACCGCTCTCGCGGTCGGTGAAATCGTCCTGGGAAGCACGAAGCCACTTGTTCTGCAACATCTGGTTCTGCGCCGCGGCGGCAGCCTTCGCCGCGGCACCCGTGTGGTACGGGATGACGGGAGGCTCTCCGCCGATGCCGGGAAGGGGCATACATGGGAAACACTGGCCGGAAGAGGAGGCCTCGCTGTTGGCGTCGAAGCCATGGGATGACTTGGAGTGGCGGAAGCTGGCAGCCTGACGAAGGCGTTGCCAGGGGAAGTGTGAGTGCGAAGTGGTCGGGCGGTGGCCGTGATGCTGACTCGGGATCTCGTGGTGAGCACCGCCGATGGAGTGTCGCTTGTGATGGACGATGCCCTTTAGCGAGACTGATGCCCGACGGATCATTCCTTTGATGCTTCCATTGCCTTGTGCTGTCGCGTTGGTACCCTGGGCCGGGTTCTGCTCGTTGCTGGGGCCGCCGTGGCTTCGTGATCGCTCGAGAGTAAGGTCTTCCATATGGCTGGCCAGGTCGGTATCGGCGTGGAGCATGAAGGACTTGCGCCGCCATGGGAGAGAGAGGCTCATGCTGCGAAGGCGGTGCTGTTGAAAGGATGGTCTAGTAGTTTGAAGCTGCTGTCCGCTGGCTTCGTCTTCTTGGATGGCGGAACTAGAGGACGGCTCGTCGTAGATGGCCTCCTGAGTCGGGGCCCAGTCGGAAACGTTGTAGATGCGTGGAGCCATCTCGTCGTCGTCGTCTTCGTCGTCGAAAGGAGTGGTCGACGCTAATAATACAATGGATGAAGGTGTAATGAATCGAACACGAGGTCGAAGTCGGATCGGCCGTCACCTTGCTAGAGAATAGAAAGGCGTCCGTAGGGGAACAGGAAGAAGAGATCGAAACAAGACCCGTGGGGCAGGGCGGAGCGGTAGCACGAGGCGAGGCGAGGACCAGGACAGGACAGGACAGGACAGGACAGGACCTAGGATCATCACATGGTCAGTGGGAGGCTTGAATCATTTGTAGGTTGGCCTGGGCAGGGCAGACAGAGCATGGAAGGGAAGCCTCTTTCCTCCTTACCTGGGCGTGGTTTAGCCTCTTTCGCGGTCTCCCTTTTTTTCTTCTTCCTTATTTTGGGTGCCCTTCTCAGACCTGACTGACTCTGGCTGGCGCGCCCGAAACTCGTGGCAGTCCAGGGACGACGGGATTGTCTCGGGCTTCGTTCCCTACCACCAAAGGGTGAGGTGGATAGCTGGGCAGGGTAGCGGCCGGCAACAGGATAAGGTACCTATCCGCAGGAGGTACAGTAGCGAAAGGCAGGGACCTCTACCTGTGGGAGCCAGTAGGAAAGCAACAAGGAGACAGGACGGGCAGCAGATTTCGGGGGGAGGAGGGCGGGAAGATGGGAGATGAGGTGCAGTCGCAGTGCAGGCGGAGGCGTGGAAATCACGGAAAGAGGCCGTTCCTGGGGGTGCTGGGGGGGGTTTGTCCTTTTCCGGCCTAACGCCAGCAAGTACCTTAGGGGTGTTCGTTTCCCTCCCCGGGCTGCTCGTGCTGGCTTGCTGCTGCTCTCAGAATTTTTCAGGGTCCGTTTCTGCTTGAAGGAGGGATCGACTTTGCGGGCCAACCGGATCGGGGGGGCTGAAATCGGGTCTGGCAATATGGGAAAGGAGCGGTGGAGAGGGAGAGAGAGTCGACACCACCAAGATGCTGGTGACGGGGACGGCGTGTGTGCGTGTCTTTGAAGACTGAGTTTGCCGTTGTCTGGCAATACCTAGCGCGCTCCTTGACTCCTTGACGCCGTGCGCGAGTCAACAAAGGAAAGAAGAGACGACACGATGGCCTGGTGTAGTCGGTCGCGTCAGGAGAAGTCGACACGGCGGGCGAGAGAGAGGGATGTGCAGAGGTATGCGCCTTTTCAGCCGGTGTGAGCCCCGTGGCCCTGTGTTTGTTGATCCCGGGGCAGGGTGGGCAGAATTCCAGACTCCGTAATGTTGATGTAAATCCTGCTAGCGTCTGCTGCAAGAAGTCTCAGGTACCCAGGCCTGCGGTAGACAGGTAAGGTATGGATGGTGTATGTACGATGCAATGCGGACTGTTGTCTCCGATGTCGAAAAAGGGTCCTCCGCGCTGCGCTGTGGGTAGAGAATAAGAAAGAAAAAAGCGTCAGGTCCTCTGGTGAAGAACAATCAAGGAAGGAGGCCGTTGCGCCGCAGAAGCGGGAGTACTTTCCTTCCCTACGCCAATCTGGGGTACCGGGAACACGTTCGGTATCCAGAGAGAGACGTGGACGGGCTGGCCGACAAGCAAAGGGCGTCTTGCTGGACGTGCGCTGTTCTTGTTGTTGCAAAGCGAAGGGGGTGCTCCCGGGAACTGAACGGTCTTTGTATGTTTGGTACGTGTATGCAAGACCGGAGATGATGACCTTCCCGGGCTATATCTTCGCGTCTGTCAGTATTATGATGGTATGTATGGACTCTATTATGCCCGGTCAGCCTGAAGGATGGTGACAGCGACAAGAGACATGCGTCAACATCAACTCAGACAGCGAGTCCCGTGGGCAACAACCGTGGGGGCTCTGGAGGGAAGACGGCACGGTGAGGTAAGACGGTGGCTTGCGCTGAGGGCATACTCGATGCAGTCAACATTGACGCGACGTTGAGTGGATGTCAGCGTCTTTGAGGTCGTAAATGTTGAAACCGCCGCATCAAACGTCGCCGCCCAGCCACCACAACCTTCCATCCCAATAACCTGTCGCATTGTTTACAATTTCTTCATTGTTGATTCGGGAGATGGCAGCCAGTTCGACGCAACCCCCCACTGCAACACCGCCGGATTTTAGCGCAACGTGCGCCCTGCCTTTGGCCTTCAGCTAGCAAGTACGTACATGAGGTCCCATGTCCATCTACAATCCACGCCACGTGAGCTATCGCGAAAGTCATGTATCCGCAACTTCAATAGACTGTCTTCTGGAACATGTTTTTCTCCTCCTGCCATCATCTTTCGTCTAACTCGATACAGGTAGCATGAGCAACGCCAAACCAACTCGCCCGCCATATGCTGAGGCTTATTGCCAGAGAACCACGGAATGTCTCCTTTCGTGCCAGAGTGACATCCACGGAGCGCAGGTTTACCCCTGGTTCCCTGCAGATGCACCCCTAATGCACCCTGAAAATCCCTTCGCCCCTACTGGGTTTTGGTTCTTCCTAGCGACACCAAAAGCAACAGTCTCAACGAACCGATAGGTAGAAAATATGTGAAGCTAGTCTCTGTTGTTTTCCTGCCAGATAAATTGTTATGATCGACTTTGCAGCAGCCGCGCTTTCTTTTCGCAATACGAACCGTGGAACCGCGTAGTGCGCAATAGCGGGTTTCTCTTTCTTTCTTTTTTCCCGATTTTATCTGATTTTCCTGCTTCAGCACCCAAGCCCGCCAGAGACCGAGATGGCATCTGACTCAAACTGGAAATGTTCTGCATCCCCTCTTGACTCAGATTACGGGTTTGAGGGCATGATCTCTGTCTGATCATCGCCTTGCATCATTCCAGATACCTGTTGTTCGGCCACTAGGAAATGAGAGATGGTCACCCTTTACACCGCATACCAAATGCTCGCGGAAGACCGACATTGCGGGTGTTGGTGGACGTGATGTCTGAGATCATCGGCCATTGTTCTCCGAGGTGTGCTATAGGGGCACAGAAAGCGACCGTCATTTCCACCCAAATTTTCGCCAGAGCTGACACATCGTGTAGACTGCACAAACTAGCCAGAGGACATGAGTGCTCGAGATTGATACCCCTTCATCGAATTGTGCCTGTGAAGGAGCTTCGTCTGAAGCCTCCATCTCCTCGGTTTGCGGGACCTTGACGTCCCGTTCCGCTCTACGCAGTAATTTTCTCTGTCTCTTGGCGGCCCGTTTCTCTATCCTCCTCGCCTTTTGATCAATCTTGGCTTGCCGATTAGCTTCCTCTATAGGGCCTTGTATTTCTCCCGCTGTGGATGGTCTCGGTTGTTGTGCCACGTCTCTGAGCAGGTGTATTAATGCCTCAGAGCAGCTAAGGGGCTGTCTTTCGGCATCTCTTACCACAAGCATGAGTAAAGCCTGCAGACAGAAGCGCGCGTCGTTCCCGGCTGCGTGGAGATTTGCGAAAGGAATTTGTAAAGCATCAAGCAGCTTCTCCAAGCCATATCGGTAGTACAATTGGAGAGGAAATTGGGCAGCTTTGTTCGTGTCAATAATATAAAGCGATCGGTTTGGAAGGTTGATGTTGAGTTGGTGGATGATCTTGAGGTCTGAACTGGTTCCGTGTGAGACCAAAACGATATCCCGGTTGGCATCGATCAAGGCTTCAACTTTCGACTTCAATTCTTCAATCGTAGTCGGTTGCGAAGTCCCGAACAAGAACCTGTTCGAGGCTCGCCTGCTATACCGGGAATTTCCAATGGTGAATTGATGAGACATGATAATTTGGCTGTGATCTATCGAAGCTGGGTTTGAAAGTGCACTTTCAAGGTCGCGAGTGTCCAATATGGAAATACCAACGTGAAGCTGCTGGTCAGGGAGAAGTTTCTCATACCCTTGGAATGTGTCAATGTCAAGTCCGACAAACAGAAAGTCTTTCATGGGGGACTTTGGCAACCCATGCGCCGTTTTTGACAGAGGAAGCGTAGGTAGGCTGGTTTCGACGTCACCATAATGCCCTAATAACTGTCGAAGGATCAGAGTCTCGTCTCTCAGGATGCCGGTGTGGGATGGCAGTGACGACGCAGAATCACAAGACTCTAACGTGAAGTCTGAGTCCATGAGTGCGGGAGACAGGCTGGGTGTGATGTTGCAAGCGGATTATCTCGATTTCGATATCGTCGTTACTGTAAGTCAGCCCACCCCATAACCGAACACCCCCTATAACCGAACGCATCAAAACACCACTTTTTCCCCTCTTCACCACTATAACTACTTTACGCTAGAATACGTTTACCTACTATAATACTTGAAATTAATTCTTTTGAAAATATTAGTGTACTTAGTATAGCTAAATATACTAAGTAAGATATTTTAAATACTTTATATAATATTTAGAATAGGATAAGTGTTTAGAAAACTATATATACTTTAAAAGTACCCTTATTAACCCTCTATAGCTATCTCTATAGTTCTAGGACTTAGTAGGAAAGTTATACTACTTTCTAGAAGCTAATACCTACCTAAGAGAGTTACCTAGTTAACTAGGCTCTTACGTAGAGTACTTTTAGCTTTATACCTACCTATTAGTAGCTTAAAGATCTAGCCTAATATATACTAGCTTATACTAGTAATAACCACCCTCTTAGTAAGAACTAAATTAATAGCTTATTATATTATAACCCCTCTCTAAAAACCCTCTAAGGTAAGGCTATTAAATCTAAATATATTACTATTATTATAACTAAGAAAATATAAACTTATTTTAACTTATATAACTTACCTAAGATTAAAGGTATACTACCTTAGCTTTACTATAATATAGATAAGACTAGCTTTATAGAGGGTAAGGAGATTAATAGCCTTATCCTAAATTCCTCTTATATAAAGAAAATATATACTAAGATATTAGATTTTATTAGTATAGGTATAAGCGTATTTAGGGGCGTGGTATATACGCCTATATAGTATAAGG